AATATGCTGGGTGCTACTGGGCTGCATGCTTACAATGGGAAAGGCAGCCAAGCTCATGCATTTCCTACCACAATTAAAAAAAAATTCTAGGATGCCAATATCAATCAAGAACAAAAGATAATTTAGCATTCCAGACACTAAACTTTATTCATTCAAGATACATGAAATCATAGTTGCACACTATAAAACAATTAAAACCACACAAATGCATCTTACTTTAGTGATTTTTTGAAATACTTGGAAGTTTAATCCACACCTATGCTGATGGTTTAAAAAACAACTCCGCTAAAACTCTCTTGCAACCCAGAACCCACTAATTTATCACGAAGTGCCAACACTGCAATTAAACCTGAATACTGAGGTTTTAGTTTAAACAAATTTACTCACACATTAACATCTTTTGTTTTAAAATAAAAATAAAATAACATTTGTACCATAGGTTCAACACCGCTGATCTAAGCTGATTTCACTCACACATTGGGTTGGCTTCAATAAGTAGGATCTGGCAGGGCCTCTTTTTTGCCTTTAGAGTTATTCACCTGTTGGACTCTCTTCCCTGGCTTCACCTGGCCTCTTTCCTTCCAAACAGGGAGTCACATTTCCTTTCATTATATAGCTAACTTCCGAAAATGCAGAAAATGTGACCTACAAATGTTCCTAAGGCCTAGGCCCAGAAATGACATCTGGCCCTTTCTGTGTTATTGTGTTGATCTCAAGTCTCAAGGCCATTCCAGATTCAAGAGTAAGGAAATAAATAGATCACCTCTTAATGGGAGGTAGAATTGTTGGTATCCATAATGGTACATAACCCTCCTGCTTCTTCATAGGTAGAGAGAAATAATAAGTGCCTTTTGTAAATCTGACTGGAAATTCACAAGTTTTGTTGTTCAGTTGTCAGCTTGTCTGCAGCAGTAACAGAGGAATATGATTCCCTTTGAAAACAGTGATCGCTTTTAATCTCTGCTCTAGTCCTGTTTTTATGATTACACTTGGAAAACAATTTAACTTCTAAGATTATAGTGATTGTCCAAAGTTTTCACGTAAAAAAGTACCTTTGCTGACAGATCTTTTCAAACTCTATTTTAGATGTTCATAAATATAAAATATCACCTGAGTATATATAGAATCATAGAAAACTTAAGAAGTGGATAGGAAAATCTCTTTCACAAACCTAATTTCACAGAGTACGACACTAAGTCCCATACAAGGTTACAGTGACAATGTTAGGATTATTTTTTGCTCAATTAGAAGGGTATGTTTAGATGATTTTTTATAATTTTGTGGGTATGGTTATTAGAGTTTTATTTTTATGGTTACAGGAAAACAGATTAGCTTGACTTTTCATTGAAATATTAAAGGATATGCTTATAATTTTCTTCAAATTATATATTTATGACAGATCTCTGAGTTACGGTGCTATAGGAGTAATTGTTGGACATGAATTTACACATGGATTTGATAATAATGGTAAGTACTAGTTCATTTTAAAAGCTGCTGTTTTTATAGCAATGTTGACTATATGGGGTGTTAATTGATGTTATTATCTTTCTTAGTAGCATCATTATAGATGGAAGATTATCCAAAGTGATATGATTACTGATTGAAAACTTTTCCTCATGTCTTGCTGTGATAGATTGTATTAAATAAACAATTCTCGTTAGTGATCGAGTACAATTAGAAACAAAGACTTGATAATTATTTCAATGAAATGAAGTTTGCATTTAGATCAGGATCGCTGTCGTTGCCACAGTACTTAGAGAAATTACATTATCACGTCTTCCCTTTGTCATTTGTTTTGCTTCACCATCTTGAGATGTTCTCCCTGGAGGTGTGAGTTCTGCCCTAGCGACAACTGTACACGTTGCACTGCCAGGTTAGGCCTCTGGAGCTTGGCTGTTTGTTTTTTTATGCATTTTCAAGGATTATGCAATGCTTAACTTCTATGTTTCTTTATATTGGTATATATTCAGAATTTGATTTTAAAAGGCTGTGCTTTCCTAATAATGCACAATACATAATATACTGTGTATCTTTATGACATTGAAGCAAAAGGAAAGAACATAATATAGCCTACACTGAAGAAATGATTGTTTTTGAAAGTTCTTATTTTTAATCAGCATTTCTTTAACTTTGGAGTATTATTAGAAAACTGCAGAAACCTCTAAATCTGATGAATTAACAATGAATTATTATCACATCTATATCCACAAAATAGTTTATAGGTAGTCTCAAGAACCCAGCTGGCCCAAGACAGTGTTGTTAAAAGGAGATTTCTTTCTCTCTCTTTTTTTCCGATTCTGGGATCAAACTCAGGACCTTGTGCTTGCCAAGCAGGCACAGCACCATTGAGCTACATCCCCATCCCCTCTTTCTCTAATGTTTGTGATGCCTCATATGATGCCAAGTCCTGGGCAAGAGACACTTTGGACTCTTTTCTTCTGGTCATTTCTTCCTGTACCCCCTATCAGTCCTTAATCACCTACTGTTTTGCTTGCCTCTCCTCCACCACCCTGTTAAAATGTTACTGTGTTGTAGTCATCTGACTCCTCAGAGCTTGACTCTGTCTTTGGATGTTTGGTTTATCTGAGAGTCTTAACTAAGAAAGTAAAGCAAATGATACTTGTCTTTGTAACTTTTTCATCATTAGGACACAGCGTCCAACACTCACAGATGAAAGGAGGAAAGGATTATTTTGGCTTATGATTTCAGGGTGTATGGTCCTATGGCTGGCTCCAGAGCAGGAAGGACATGGTAGGAGGGTATAGTGGAGGAAATATGCTCACATATTATGGCAGCCAGGAAGCAGAGAAATAAGGGAAGTGATGAGGAGGGAGATAAACCCTTCCAGATAATTTTGCCAGTGACCCACCTCTAGCCAGGCCTTACCTCCTACTTGCAAATCAGCTGTGAATGTACTGGGGGATTAATCCACTGTGGAGTGCAACACTGCCATGAGGCACTCACCTTCCAAAATCCTCCTCTGTATACATTAAGCTTTGGGGGGACATTCTAGAATCTAAATCATAACACTGTTCAATTGTTTCTGAACCTTTCTTTGTAGGAAAGTTAAGTAAAATTCTCCCCTAGAACCTCCTGGAGGTCTTTTGGTATCTCTCCCAAATAACAGAATCGAATGATGGCAGATGATAACTCCATAGTACAGTATTCAGGCCAGGCAGTGGTGGTGGTAACATGCAGCCTCACTAGAGAGCTTTGGGTTGTTCCAATCAATGCCACTGCATAGGGGCGTTCTTATAAAATCTTTCTTGTAAACTTTCTTTCTTAGAAGTCTTGCTTAGAGGATCTTCTAAATTCTCCACATAATTAAATTTAATCCATGCCTCTGATTCCAATTGTAACTTTGAATATAGAAGATAGTCTAGATAGACTCCAACTACTGTTTTGAAGGCTGTAGAGAAAATGAAAAGTGAATGAGCACGTAGCAAGAAATCATGTATAGCTAATCTTTTTCCCCATTATGTTTTGGAGATTTCCATTCTTGTTCCAAGTTTTCTTTTCAGAGCAGCCATCCATGTCTAAGGAGGACAGATGGGTCTTCCATCCACACTGATGACTATGGAATGATTCATAACAGAGGTTTTATGTGTCTCTTGGATCCTGGCAACTTGGAGCAAGCAGATTCCTATAGAGCTGAGTCAGGGTGCATGGTCCTATGCTGTGGATGACTCACTGTGGGGGGCTGTTCCTATGGATTGGAATTTCACTGGAAGTCCCTGGCTTTCTCCATAGGCTTCTTGAATAAAGTCATTTCATTTTATGATCCAGAGAACATTTGAGGTCAGAGCAGGTAAAAACACAGATTCCAAGATTGGATAAGATTGGTGCATGTATTAAATTCATGAATCTCATTTGCCCTGTGTTCTCGGAAGGAAAGAACTTCCGCAATCTTTTTCTTCCTTTGCCCTTTTCCCATTCTTAATCTGTGACATTGGAGAGAAGGCAGGAGTTGTTGTCAAGAAGATTGTTCCCTCCTGTTGTAACTGCATTTTGAAAGTTTGTCGAGATGAGGGAAGGGAAAGATAAAGAATTCAGTTTCCATAAATAACACACATGTTTTTAAACTTTCCTCTTTGGTAGGTAGAAAATATGATAAAAATGGAAACTTGGATCCTTGGTGGTCTATGGACTCAGAAGAAAAGTTTAAAGAAAAAACTAAGTGCATGATTAACCAGTATAGCAACTATTATTGGAAGAAAGCTGGCTTAAATGTAAGTATGGTTGTGTTGAGGGCTCATCTTGTGGGACATTTTTTCTCACTTGGATGTTTGCTTGCTTTAGATCATCGGTTCTCAAAGTGTGATTCTGAGATCGATAACACCAGCCTTTCCAGGGCACTTTTTACAGATGCAAATTCTTGAGTCTGACCCTAGACCTACTGAATCAGAATTTTTAGGGAAGGAGCCTGATAACCTGGCAGTCTTTTCACAAGTCCTTAGTTGATTTTGATATCAGCAGTAGTTTGAGAATCATAAACCTGCATATTATTCATTTTCCAAGATTCAGATTGATGGCAGAAATGCTGTAGCATAAGTAAACAGTCACAGTCATATAAATTTCTTACCCAATATATAATTTTTAGAAATTTCCATCCAGACTACTCCTTAGGTTGACTTCATTGGCATTAAACCTCATTAATTTCAACTAATGGATCCGAGAATTGGTTAGGAGTTCTTAGTTATACAAGTTTGAACCAAAGAAATACGTTTTAAAATGTGTATTTTCTATTATATTTACATATATAATTTTATATAAAGGCACAAATGCAATTTTATATGTCCTTTTTGAGTGTGAAATTTTATTTCCTCTCCCATTCCTCTTATCATTTTACATTCCCTTCCTGTAATCGATATTACTAACCCTGATATATTTTCCCCATGCTCTCCTAAACACACAGAGAACTTTAATGGATAGTTTCTAATGGCTTTCTAAGAGTCCCTGATGTGAATGTACTATCATGTAGTCAACTAATCTCTCTCTCTCTCTTTTTTTTTTTTTTTTTGGTTTTTTGAGAAAGGGTCTCACTGTGTAGTTGAGACTGACCTGGAACTCAGTATGTAGCCCAGGCTGGTCTCGAACTCACAGCGATCCTCCTGCCTCAGCCTCCCAAGTGCTGGGATCACGGGTATTCACCACCATGCCTGGCAACTAATCTCTTGATAAAGTTACACTTTGCAATTATATATACACTGATGCAGTAAACATCTTTATTATGTATGTATTCTTTTTCTCTGTAGGATAGATGCTTACTGTCACCAAAAGCTATAAAATTTCCTATTTTCTCAAGTGATATATGAAATAACATTTATTATTGAGTTATTTTCTTGTCAATTTATGACAACCTTTTAAAATAATATAGATGTTAAAATTTTGCCCATCATTTCTATGTATTTCCCCCAAATATATTATTCATCCTTTGGACTTTGTGTATGGTATCTTTTGACCTACAAAATTTAAGCATTTTTATAAAGTCCAAAATACTTCTATCTCTTATGAAATAGCTTCTGTGTTTCTGTTTTGGGCCATGAAAGTGTCCCCAACACCTGCGTATATTGTATATGGAGTCCTCTATCTTTTCTGGAAAGGATTTTATTGTGTTGTTATTTTACATTTAAATTTTCATACATATGAAATTTATTTTTCCGTGTAGTTTAACATGAGACATCCCTTATATGTTTTTCCTAAAGTATAACCAATTGATCCAGCACCACTTTTTAAGAGAAAGTTCTTTTTTCTCCCTAAGTGAAATATTTGTCAGAAATTAGGATCTCATAAAAACAGAATATAGAATCGTGGTCATTAGAAGCTGGAGGTAGGGAAGGAAAGTTGATTAATGGGTACAGTAGTGTGGTTAGATAAGAATAGTAAGTTTTTATGTTCTCTTGCACGGTGGGGTGACTATAGTTAACAATCATGTATTGTGTCTCTGAAAATAGCCAAAGGAGAGAAATCTGAATATACTCACCATAAAGAAGTGATAAAATTTAAGGTGACAGATATGCTAATTACTGTGATTTGGTCACAACATATTGTATCTAAACATCATATTTTACCCCCATAGATATGTACATGTATTATCTGTCAAGCCAAAAAAAAAATACCTAGGTTTATGAACGTGGACAAGTGACACAATACTTCTGAATCTTAGCATCTTTATCTGTGCAATGGGTAAATATATTTTTCTGAACTCTAGTTTGTTGTAGAAATTAAACAAGGGAAGTAACAAGCAAAATGCCTGGCATACAGGAAGTACACAGTAAAAGATGTTTATTTTTTAACATTCCTGGTCCTTTGTGGCGTACTCATAGGTGCCACACTCCAGGAGAAAATAAATCAAATAATTTGGGCCTGAGCAAACAATAGAAGGACATTTTTCTTAGAGAAAGAAAAATCCATATTTCCTTATGATTATTATCTGTAGACCTGGGAATTAGACCTTTCACTTTACTGAAATAAATGTAACCCTTACACTGGTCCTGAGCGGTATACATATCACTAGGTGTACACATTCTACATATGAGGAAATTGAGGCTCAAAGAGATTAATGCCCTTGATAGAGTCTAGCTTAGAGTTTAAATATGTGTGACTCCAGAGTCCATACTACCCTCTCCCCTATATTATACTCTGGTTCTCTTATTTTTTAGTTCATTTTTATACCTGGGTGATATATAAGTAGACTTTTCCTCAGGGTCCATTTTCCCCAAAGTGTCATATATTGAAACTTAATTCAGACAAATGTGTACCTTTATTACAAGGACTACTGAAGGGCATGCCTGTCTCAGTCAGTATAAATCCACTCGACCATCAGAAAACAGCTCCCATGTCAATCCTACAGGAGACTGGGTGGCTTTCTTAGTGGCCATTATTTTTCTGGCTTTGTACGAGCCCGTCCTCTGGGCCTGAATTATTTTTGTGGTAAATTAGAAGGAGCTTGCAGATGCCAACTGTCAGCAGCTGTTGGATCCCATGAGGCCAAATCTAGGGCTCTGTGCTTTACTGAGATGGTCCATAGTATGAGGAATCAGAGGAGTGGGGCTACTCCCAAATCCTCTAACATAGATATAAAGCTTAGAGTAAAAAAGAAGTAGGAATCAATGCTTGAGAAGGTACATGATATCAAGCAAAGACCCTGAATACAGAAGACCTTGAGTTTGAATCCCTGAGGAATCTAAACAGTTAATTTAAAGCAAGCCTTACCCTGACCCCACAGTTTTCTGCAGTATGAAATGCAGTATAGTAATTGTTCAGCCCTGTCCCAAGGATCTGGGCTGTTTCATAATCTCCATGGTGACCCTGCAAACTAAGGCTAATCTTCCTAAGCTGTTAGCAGTTGCAGGACTGGGTACACAGACCTAGTATAAAAGGGGATCTAGTTGGGTACCAACAATATCTACTACACACTCAGCTTTAGAGCCTCATTTATTAAACAAGGATGGTGATAATAATACTTCCTTAATAGCACTGTAGTAAAAGAAATAATGTAAAACAGGAATGGTAACTTTGGGGGATTAAAGTTAGGGAATGTCCTTGTTTCTTTGTTGATTATAATCATGTTTTTTCATTCATATTCATTTCTGGTTGTACTTTTCTTTTTTTTTCTTTTTTCGTTTTTCTTTTTTCTTTTTTTTTTTTTTTCTGGGGATGGAATTCAGGACCTTGTGCTTGTGAGGCAGGCACAGTGCCACTGCTAAATCCCTGACCCTTCATTTCTATTTGTTGATATTTCTTGATACCTGGGCAATTAAGCTACCTTATAAGTAAACAGTTGATAGACTCCATGGCTTGAAAGTTTAGAGCAGGGGATGTTATTTCTGTGTTGCTGCTATAAAAAATTACTATAAACTCAGTAGTTTAAAGCAACACAAATTTATTAACATACATTTCTGTATGTCAGATATCTGACACAAATCTCAGTGGCCTAAAATTAAGATGTTCACAGGGTTCTGTTCCTTTCCAGAGGCACTAGTGGAGAATCTCTCCTTGCCTTTTTTAACTTTAGAAAAGTTAGTAGCTGCCCGCATTCCATGGCTCATAGTTCTCTCCTTCAAAGCCAGTAGTGGCTGGTGGAGTCTACTCACATTGCATCATCCTTCATTAACTCTCTTGTCCCCCCTTTCCCCTTATAAAGCTTACATTGATCCCATTGTATAATCCAAGAAAATGCCCCCCTGTCAATATCTTTGTTTTACTCATATTTTAAAAGTTCCCTTTGCCATTGTATGGTATCATTTTCACAGGTTTCAGGAATCTGGATGTAGACACCTTTGGGAGGCCATTATTCTGCCTACTATAGGGGGTTTGGCAAATTTTTCTATAAATAATTTAGGCTTTGTAGGTTGAATTGTTTAAATTGCAACTGCTAAATTCTGCCACAGTAGTAAGACAGCAACCACAGATAGTGTGTTTATGAATGGGCATGACTTTGTTCCAAAAAAACAGAAAACAAACTTCATTTATGTCCACTAAAATTTAAATTTAATAAAATTTTATGAGCCACAAAATATTACTCTTCTTTTGATTTTGCCCCTAATCATTGAAAAATGTAAAATCCACTTATACCTTACAGTCTACACAAGCAAAAATGGTAGGTTGGCTGTGTCTTGTGAGCTATATTGATTTAGAATATTTTTATCTTAGCTCATTTAAAGTTTAAAAAATAATTTTCAAACATTGGGAAGAATTTCTTCCCCATGCTTGGCTGGGTGTCATATATATTGCAAAACTGGACCTTGCACTATTTCTGTTTGATTTTTTTCCCTAAGAAGGCTACGCCCCTTTTAATTTTTCACAGAAATTGCTGAAGGTAAAGTGATAATGTTTGGTCTCGAAATCTTGTTCCTGTATATATAGCAAATTGTGGGGAATACAGGTACAATGAGTCGAATACTCAAATTATTTGAGTTAATCAGAGAAAGTCATATGTGTATTGACATTTCTATTTTTTCCCCATTAAGCCACAGTCACTCAGAATATTGCTAACATTTTATTGGAGCAGACTAAATTGGGAAGAATAAAGGGAAGGATGAGAAAGTAACGTTTAGCATAATAAAATAGAAATAATTATATTCAGGATCACGTTACTGGGGCGAGTTTGCCATCTCATATAATGACTACCTCTGGATGTAAGTTTGCCTTTAAAATGTGACACTTTTGCTTGTTATAATATTTATGCCTCTTGCTGAATGATAGTCAATCATGTAACACTCTTTCCTTCTTCTTTTTTTTCCTTTCTGTTAGGTGAAGGGGAAGAGGACTCTGGGAGAAAATATTGCTGATAATGGAGGTCTGAGGGAAGCTTTTAGGGTATGCATTGTTACACTGGCTGTAACTTAAAAAATTAAAGTAGAAAATTCTGTATGGGTGCATCACAGACATGCTCTTGGTGTTGAGTATTGTGGAATTTCTGTAAATGGAATTGCATTACCCCATTGATTTCTATTATACCCTATTATATAAATAGGACTACATTTTTTTTTCTTTTTCTTTTTGGGATACAGAGTCACCCTAAATAATAATATTTGTTATTAAGGATCATGTATTTAAGGGACAGTTTTCAGAAAGTACTCTCACAATCATATCAAAATATGCTATAGAAATCTCCTTGGGGCTAGATGCAAATGAGTTTTCCTTGAATACAGTTTTCTCTATATCCCACCTTAGAATGTTCTCTTAAAATACCAAACTTCTAGAATATGTCCAGAGGTTATCATTCTCATATTTTGGGACAGGTGATAGTCCATAATAGTGTTTTCATAATCTCCCAAGGTTATATTCTTTCCTCATTCTAGTTCAAATATATTTTGTTTCATAAAATCATAGTGATAGAAGATGGTAGCTTTTCCTGTGAATTGGCAAAATAGAAAATTGATAATATGTTCTTCCTAAACTTTATTGCCATAAATGCCCTACTGTGGCATTTTATGTGTTTATCCCATGTTGGAATCATTTGGAAATATTTTATTTTAATGCATCAACACTTTGGGCAAGCTGCTCTTGATGATTATTGAGTGTAAGGCCTTTCTGCATGTGTACCTGCCTCACTGTTAAATGAAATGACAATGACTCGCATTTCCAGGTATTTTCTTTCTTAAGGGAAAATTTGACAATGCATTTAGTATATGACAGGAGTGTGTATGTAATGTCTCTGTGTTGGGTAAGAAAAGAGAGAAACCATCACTATAGAAACTCATCTCTTCTGCTTTTTTCACCAGGCTTACAGGAAATGGATTAATGACAGAAGGCAGGGAGTTGAGGAGCCTCTTTTACCAGGAATCACATTTACCAACAACCAGCTCTTCTTCCTGAGTTATGCTCATGTAAGTAGACCAAGAAAGAGACATCAGAGATGGAATGTGTGACTTTAGCTTGCACCCTTGATTAGAGGTTTGGAACAAAAGTTTCATAGCATGACTTTGGTTTTAACCAAAACTTTATCTGGCTGATTATTTTCTAGATAAATTCCATCTTTTAAAGTTCTGTGGGACATAAATAATTCCCCAATTAAATGAAGGGTTACTGATGTGTTTTAATCCAGTGGGTTACCAGCCCTGTTAACTCACTTGATAATTATTCAGTATATTTTGGCTTCTTAATGTATTCAATACTGTTTGCAACCATTTCTAATAACTTATCTTTGGCTTTCCTGGACCTGCCCTTTCCTATATTTATTTTTTCCTTGCCTCATTTGCTGATTTTATCTCATCACTCTCAATGGCTGGGTTCCCAACTATCAAATGAATATTTCTACCCAAGTAGAAAAGGGAACAACAGAGAAAAATAGAGTCAGGCCATTCTTTTATGAGTTTGATATGTTCTTGGAGCATAAATTGAAAGGAAGATGTGAATTAACTAAGGTACTTTGTTATTGGCTTATGTCATAAATATCTAAGCAACATTTCCAAAGAAATGGGCGGGGATGGGCAGATAAAGGCTCTAGTGCTTGATCTCACAGTGGGCAAGAGCATGTGAACATGGTCAAAGCTAGATAAGTTCTCATTAGTACAACCTTTTGTTCCCATGTCTGTATTCATTCTGTAGCAAGCTTAGTCTTCTATAATCATTTCTGGTTAAAGGATTCTCATTTGTCTGGGGTCCTTTATTTCTTAAAGCCAACAGGACAATAACAATTCAATTATCATTTATCAACCTGATGTCAACAAGACTGTAGCTATCAACAAAATGACTTTCCTTTTCAGTTTTTCTATCAATGTACTCCAGTCTTTGGGTCTTTATGGCAAGAAAGCTTAGATTCTTAGGTCTTATTTTTATAACATGTGTCCCCTAAACTAGATGTTTCATCTTTTACATGCTTTTTAGATGTCACCTCTCCTTCTCCCTTGTTTTAGGCAACCCAGGCTACTATGACAGTACCATAGAGTGGGTTGGTTTTTAAACAATAGAAATTGGTTTCTCATAGTTCTGGAGGCTAGAAGTCTGAGTTCAGGGTCCCTATAGAGTCAGGTTCAACTGAGGGATCTCTTCCAGACTGTAGACTGCTGACTTCTTACTGTCTTTATGTGGTACAAAGAGCCAAGTGGCTTTCTGGCCTCTTATACATACAGGCACCAATCCCACTCATGAGGGCTCTACACTCTGGACCTAATACCCCCCGAAGGCTCCACCTCCTAATAGCATCATTTTAGGCTTAGAGTTTAAACATATGAATATGAGAGAAATAAAGAAATTTAGCCTATAGGATCCCCATTATTCTATCTCATCATTTATAGGCCAGATCTTCATATATTACACTCTGCAGTATCCCAACAGCCAGCCTTACTTTATTCTTTTCCTGACTCCAGCATCTTTTACCACTGTTTTACACTCCACTGAAATACTTCTATTTCATTACTGACCCTCCACAAGATTTCCAAATGACTATCACTTTGAGGCCAAATACCTCCACTGAGATTCCACTGGTCTCACTCTGATCCATCTCCGTCTGATTCACTTTAATTTCTCACAGATCTGCTGGATGCGAAAAATTCAATCTTACTCAGGCAGCTCTCCTTGCTTCTCCCCCATGATGTTATGCTCATTATTACCTCCGTGGCTTTGATTCTGATTTGCCTTTTATAATATGGCTCCCTTCCTACTTAGCCCCCTTGTATTATTCAATCCTAGCCTCAACAGTTAGGATCCACATCAAGAGTCGCCTCCTCTACCTGTTCCACAAACTTCCCCAAGGACTCCAGTCCCCATTATTTTATCTCTAGCTCCTTTTCCACTTCTCTTCCTTACCATGCAGTTGAGTACTTAATAGCTCTCAAAATGTTCAAGATTTTCAGTTTTATCTCCACAGCTAATCTTCTGAATCCTTAAACTTCCTATGCATCTCTGTAGCACTGAGTAAAGGTGCTGATACATCGTAGATACTTGGTGTTTTTTGATCAATTGCTTGAAAAGGATTAAGACTAGCACAGTTCAAAAAAGGGGACTTCCTTTTCAGTCATCCCTAAAAATAGATAATAAAATAAGCACACGTACATAAAATAGTTAGAACTTTCCAGGGTTGGAATTGGAAAGCTGAGGCCAAATAAAGAAAGCCTGGTGTCTGTTTGTATTGTTTTAATGGAAAACAGCCACATTCATCTATCTGGAATTAGTCTAGTTTTGTGTTAATGTGGCAGAGTTGATTAGTTGCAACAGGGACTTTGTGGTCTTCAAGCCTAAAGTATTTACCATCTGGCTGCTTGTTATTTCCATCCTAGTTCATAATACCTCTCCATAGATTAAATAAACTAATTGACAGTGATGTCATGATTACAATTTTAAAATGTTTTCATATATGATACCAAACATTAAACTAAAGATATTTAGGAAAATTTGAAAGATTTTTTTTTAAATCACGGATGATAAATTCATCTTGGCCCTTTTGCTACTGACAAAATGAGGAGATTTTCAACCTTTTGCAAATTGGAGTAAGTTTGCATATATGGAGAAAACTTATTTTCCCTCCTAGGAAAGAACTAGGGAACCGTCATAATATGTTTTTAGAAAGCCCTTAATTGACACATGAAACAAAGATAATACTATATTTTAATGTAGTAAAATAGAATTCCAAAACCATGGTTACATAAGCTAACTTCTGAGGAAATTAAGGAATAACATTACAAACCGTCTTCAAAATCAAATTCCAAAACAGTGACTGGCTGGTGTCTTCATCAAAGGCAGTAGCGTCATGTCACATTTCCTGTTTTCTGTATCCCAGCAGTTGCTGCAAACTGTCGTTCCTTTTCTCAGGTATTCTTCTCACTCTTCTATTTCTTTCCGTTTCCATTTCTACTTATCTAGTGGGCATTCGTTGTCTATAAATAATCTTCACATGAGTCTAATTTACTCCTGCTACAACATGCCCTTGCCAGATAAATCTTTGAAAATATGGGCTTTATTTTCCTGCTCAAAAACAGTGTTTAAATATAGTTTAAACATCTTGGCCTATTGCTCAGCTCAAGACTTCAAAAATCAGGAGTCATCCTTTTCCCTGGTCACTCCCTGATGCCCATTTTGCACATGTATCCAGCCCAGCTGACTGTCTTGCCTTTTCATGCCTTAACCATTTTCTCATTTGTCCTTCCACTTAGAATATTGCTCCATATTCATGTGTCCTAGTTATATTCATACTTCAGGACCATATCCTATTTCATGATGTATCAAGTCAGGATCAAGCATGTTATGCTGTAGGAACAAACAACACAAAGTGTATTCAAGTTCATACTCCAAGCCCAACATGCATTAGCAGCGGGACTCTCCCCATAGTTTTTACTCAAGGCCCTGTGTTTTGGTGTCTTTATCTTAACAGGTGCTTCCATGGTCACCACAGAAGTAAGAAAGAAATACGAAAAAATGTGCCTTGGCCCTTAATGTAGCATCTTAAATTGTTCTAAGGCTCTTAAAACTTCAGCCAGATTTTATGAGCTTCTGCCACCAAGTGACATTTATCAGTTCTGCTTACATTCCTTCATTTAGAACAAGTTAGACAGGCGTGCCTAATATCAAAAGAATGATACTCCTGTCCCAGGCTCCGACTATGGTGAGGCAACTTTGGTACTCAGAGAGCAAAATAATAACTTTTCGTAACCATACTCACTTGTCGATGACTCATTGATTTCATGGATTCAAATGAGTATGGTTAAATTTGATAAGAGCTATTTAAAGCATTAAATTAACTGAATGAATACATTGTACAATTCCTGGGCACATATATGATTCTCTTGATTTAAAACACCTGCCTGGAAGCCTTCTTCATTTACTCGAACTGTGGAGTTACTCACACTGGTAAAACCATCTAACCTGGGAATGAAAATAATAGATGTTACTACTAATGAAGGTTTTCTCTGCCCTACTAGAACTGTTTGTCATCCACTGATTGTAAAATTATCATTATGTATAATTTGGGACAGTTAAGAAAGTATAAAAGGTATAATTGGAGTGGAAGCATATTTATTGGGATGCCTTTCTCTTCCAGGTAAGGTGCAATTCCTACAGACCAGAAGCTGCCAGAGAACAAGTCCAAATTGGTGCTCACAGCCCCCCTCAGTTTAGGTATATGAGCAAAAGGGGTGATCTCTCCTCATGCCCTGCTCCAGCTATCTCAGTGCACTACCAGATAGGTGGTGTGAACAAAAGCCTGTATTGTGAACCTCATGATCTTGCTTTTGCAGACAACAAAATCTGATTGAATAGAAACTAATATCTTTTCTTTCATTAGAAGGAAACTGGCTTACTCAGTATTTTCTCAACTAAATTTCTGCTGACCGGCACTAAGAAGATTTCTAGTTTTGTTCCACATCAAGAGATCTGTGAGACTCTCAAAGTAATTTGGAATCAAAATCATAGCCTTAGTATTAAATTCCATTTATTATCTTCTACTTGTTGAAAGACAGTAATCTGTAGATGCCGGGTGCTCAGTAAACTGGAATACTCAATTTACCCAAATTGGGGCCTTGGCCAAAAAACAGATTTTATTGTCTCTGAACAGTATGTGATCTGATGTACTCTCCTTAAAACACCCAGAGCTCTGATTTATTTCATATGAAAGAATATATTATTTAATAACTCGTGTTTTTTCACACAATCAACCAACAGACATAAATGAATGCCCATTTTCTGAATAGCTCTTAACACAAAGGAAGATATATGGTGATATTTAGCAATTATAATTCATGTCCTTGAGTTAGTGAAACTGCATTTTGGCTTTCAATTGCAGCACATTTTGAAACAATTATTTACATATGAAGGGGAAAAGATTGTGAATTACAATCTTTTTTTTTTTTTTTTTTTTTGAGACAGGGTCTCACTATGTAGTTGAGACTGACCTGGAACTCACTATGTAGCCCAGGTTGGTCTCGAACTCACAGCGATCCTCCTGCCTCAGCCTCCCAAGTGCTAGGATTACAGGTGTGCACCACCACACCCAGCTGTAAATTACAATCTTAATTGTCAGAATGTATAAAATACTAGGCAAAACCAAAATTAAAGTTGCTATTTCCCTGTTCTAGGATCTATAGCTTGGAGGAAATTTTCTATAGTAGAGGATAGATAATTATAATGAGAAATCCAAGAAGTCATAATAATTTATAGTTATTCATTACTTGCTTAAAATATATTAACCTGGATATCTTTACATTTAATATTTAAATAAATTCATTAGCATAATGCAAGAAAGTCATCTAAAATTTCTTTTATATTTTAAAATCTTATTTCTAAAACCTTTCTTAGACATGATTCAAAAATTGACTGTAAATTATCCACTAGCATAAAAATCTAATCAGCGTGTTGGAAATTCTCCCTCACTGGGCTTAACTGTCATGAAGACTGACAGCTTCCAATGGTCTAAAATATACTCCCACTGACAAATGGTGCACAAGAAGCCACACAGTAGATTCATTGCTCAACAGATAAGTTTTTAGAAACTAATTTCCTTTTACTAACTAGTTGCCTATAATGTTGAATTTTAGCCGATAATTTACAGAGTATGCTTACTAATTACCAGCTAACTACTAATTACCAGTTCTAACTTTAATGCTTGCCTAGGGTGAATCACACTATGAAATATGCATTGCTCTCCATATATCTCAGCTATAACACACGAGTACTCATCACCCACTACTTTAGGCCTACAATCCTCTGAGGACTTTTATTTTTAATGCATATTCATTATTTGGGTAGATAATTTGCTTAGATCTAAACAGTATCTGTTCAGAGTCATGGGGCTTTGAAAAAGGAATACATGAAATGAACCAAGTATGTTTCTTTAGAAAACCAAACCAGCAAAAAATAAATCCCTAGGCTCCTTTTGTTAAAAGGTGATCTGCTGAATTGTTGTTATTGTCCATTTTAGTGTATTAATTACACTGAAGTTTCTGAGGATTCGGTGGATATAGGCCATTACATTTTATTCAAATGCCTGTAGGTAACAAAGTCATTAGGAAAGAAATAGAGACTACTAATGCTGAATTTCTAGTCAACCCTTTGAACATACAGTTGAGTAAGAAATGGATGAGGAGGAACATTTTTTTTTTTGCCTGAGTTGTTACTGATATCTGTAGTAACTACAGATTTTGAGCACAGTGAGAAATCACACAGTGGATATATCACTTTCAAAAGCCAGTTACAATCAAAGTGCTGAGCAGGAATTTACAGTCTTTACTGCTATCTGGAACTTGCAAGAAGAACCACAGTTTAGAAATGAAATCTAGTGAAGAATTACTCATCTATAACAGCTAGATGTTATTCAGTAGTTGATTATTGCATTAATCAAATTCTAAGTAAATATGAACCTCTAAATCTAATGGGAATTTAAAGAAAGTATTTTTTATAGATAGATTCAATAGACTATTTAAATATAGTTGGAAATGGAGCAACATGAATGACTCTTACAGACATTATATTGGGTGAAAGAAGTCAAAGACAGAAGACTATGAACTATGAACTATTTCATTCACCTGAAGTTCAAAAGCAGCGAAGTCTTGGTGATAGAGGTCACAATAATAGTTTTCTTCAGGGATACTATTGGTAAGGGGGCATGTGGAAGACTGTAGGATGCTTGAAATATCTTGTTTCTTGACCTAATGGTAGTAACAGTTGTATGTGAAAAAATGAGTGATTTCTACATTTAAGACACGGGAAATTTATGTCAGTTATACTTTCCACAAGAAAGTTAATTTTTTAAAAATGTTGGAAAAGCAATAGGAGAGTATGCTTGGCATTCAGGAGATGCTGGTTCTAGTCTTGATGCTGTTAATTTCTTTGGAAATTAATTATTTGGGCCTTTAGTTACATTTGAGAACAGATTAAATGCACACCAAGATCTTTTCTAGCATTGCATGGTTATATAGTTTTATCCTTTGATGTACGTGAATTAAATCACATATGTTTTGCCATGTCTTTTTTCAGGGTCAATGGTGCCATTAGTAACTTCGAAGAATTTCAAAAAGCTTTTAACTGTCCACTTAATTCTACAATGAACAGAGGTGCAGACTCCTGCAGACTGTGGTAGTTGGAGCTTTGATTTCTGCCATCCTGAGACATCTTCCTGGTGCCAGCAGAGGTGGCGCTGAGTACTCATCACCCACTACTTTAGGCCTACAATCCTCTGAGGAATTTTATTTCTAATGCATATTCATTATTTGGGTAGATAATTTGCTTAGATCTAAACAGTATCTGTTCAGAGTCATGGGGCTTTAAAAAAGGAATACATGAAATGAACCAAGTATGTTTCTTTAGAAAACCAAACCAGCAAAAAATAAATCCCTAGGCTCCTTTTGTTAAAAGGTGATCTGCTGAATTATTGTCATTGTCCATTTTAGTGTATTAATTACAGCTAGGTGGTACATACCAATTCAGTCTATAGTTTTGCAGGTTGCCTAAGTAGACTGTGATTCTGAAAATGTTCAGTCTATTAAATATGTAATCTTCAATGATGATGACATGTATATAGACACTTGGCCTTGCTCTCTGTGGATCACAGTGCTAGATTCATTTCATGGATCATCATTACACACTATTTCTTAGCTCTAAAATAGTTAAATAAGAAACACGTTGGATCTCCAATTTGCAATTTTTAATGAAGTTCTTGCCTTTAGCTTTGGAGTCTACTGGACTAAAAATGTGCCTTGTATCTTGTGACTAATGCCATTGATTACTCATGCAAGTCAACGAAGAAGATGGCAGAAAGTCTTAGGTTAACATATTTGAGTTTACCAAATAGGAAAGAAAGGGATAAATCATTAAGTCGCAGAAAAAGCACAACTTCCTCGTCATACAGCAGGGAAACTAGGAGATGCAATGTCCGAAAGTTTTTTTCTGATCTGAATGAACCTCAGTGATCACCTGTCTGCTGTACACTGTTCTTTGGCCCAGCTCCTGTTTGTTTCATGAATCTTGCATGTGTTCATTCTGCTCCTTGTACAATGAACAGACAATGAAAGAAGGATTTTCTGATTCCCCATTACGATCATGTGGCTTTCATTTCCCTTTAGTGCAAAGGGATAAACAATGCACTAAGGAGGGAACAAATGTCCCTTTATTAATGTTGCATCTCATTAGAAAATTTTGTTTTAAAAATTATTGATTGAAAAAACTTTAGAATATATTGATTCAATTAAATATTCCCTGCATAGACCTAAGGAATATCATTTTTACTCTTCAAGTCTTAAAGATTCTGTATGAAAGAGCAGTACTATGTGTTTGATCTTTAGAGCCTTACCTTTTTAAGTGAACCCCTCTATTAGCTTGTGGGTGTGTGTGTTAGATAACATTCTAATGGCATTAAAGTGGTTAGCTGGAATTTTCTGTTTCTTAACATAGACATTCCCCCACTCCCAAACCATTATTCATTGTGTATGAGGTGCTGGGTTAAGTGGGCTGAAAGGAAACTCTCAAAAGCAAAATGACAAATTCAGAATAACCACAGGAGTTTGTTTTGCATCCCTGTGACTTGTCATTTTTAAAAATATGAGTATGTGCCTTGTCCTTTTGTAACCATGGGAACTTCTGAGGGGAGAAAAATTGAGGGGCACCATCATGAGGCAAACAATTACACTACATTAGTCAGAGGAGAGTGATTTTCCCCTTGACTTCCTCCTCTCCAAATGGATAAATGTCTGAAGGGCAGCTACCTTTACCTCCTATTAACCACAGCTTTATGTGACCTTAGTTTGTATTTCTAAAAACAAACAGTATTAGGTCAAAGGTGCAAGAAATATATGTGCCTTTTATCTGGAGTAAGCATCTGACTTGGTTTATACATGAAACATATTCTCTTTTTTTCCCTACATGTGGGCACTTTAAATCAGCTAGGGTTGTCATGCTTATGTTAATAGTGCTTTCCTTTCAGGTTTCTTTTTAAAACTCCAAATAAACACATTCCTGCAGGCCAGAGAAAGTGTTTGATAAAAGCATAGAATTATGACTTTGGAAGTAGAAATCATTAACTCACTTGTTGGTCCAGGAAAACTAATTGGTGATAATTTGAGGCTCTCACAGTTTCTGCGTGGCAGGGTTACCTTGTCCTAATTAACTTGACTTGATGTAACATTGTAACTGAAAGTTGCATATAGGATGATGATTATTAAAACCAAGCAAAAGTAGCAATACCGAATCATCACTCCTAGCTGGAATAATTTTATAGAAGCATTGGATTTCCAAATGCTTGTGTTTAACTCTTCAAATTACAGTCCTCTTGTCCTCTTCAACACACATTGCTGTAAGAAACAAACACTGATTAAATGGGAGAGGGAAGAAGATAAAATGCAACTGAAAGGGAAAGAGAAGCCGGCTCAAGGATGTGGCATGGAAGAGAAGACAGGATTTTGGCAATCTTTGCTAAGCATATCCACTGGAGGAGAGCCAGGAAGTTCTACAAAAATAATTATGGTAAATTAAAAGGAAATTAGATATTAGATCTCAGACTAGAGATGCAGTAACATACTTCTTTGATTCATATAGCAGTTTTTGTTCTGCCAATGAGCTATTGTCTGGGCATGGGAAAGACTTAGTATTTTGTGAAGTGTTCCTGGATTAGTCAAGGATTCTCTGTATATGAAGTGGCATATCACCATTGCCCAAGATTGCTGAGCATTGGCCCCCATTTCCATCATTTTCCTTTTGTGAGATGGACTGGGACATGACTAACGCAAGCTCAGGATTTATAAATTATCCTGCAGTTTATTTATTACCTTGCCTCAGTGGAGCTTAAAGGATAGCACATAAATTTTATCTTATTTAGCCCTGAGAAGCAACTAGGAGCCATGCCTTGCCAGACAGGTTATGCTCGCCAGAGAAATGGGGAGGCTTAAATTTTTGTTAAGAATTTCAGAGTCAGAAAATACAGTGTCTTTATGCTTTGGGCTACTGACCTTTAGATTAACTTTCATCATTTAGATTATGCTATTCCTAAGTACATTTATCCAATCAGTATTTCTATAATCACGTAGCATTTAATAGACTTCTCCCTTGATATTTTAAACATAATGCCTTGATTGCTTTTTAAATTATGGAAGAATATATGATTGCTCCACACAACAACATTCTTATCGCCAGTGGCAGTACTCCACTGGGATGAAGACAGATTTTTTTGAATTATGCATCTTTTATCTAAATGGTCATTGTGAGACTAGTTTGGTTGTGTTTTCTTCCCTTACTTGTAAAACAATGAGAACAATCATTTTAAGGGCAATAAAAAGTTGGTTGAAGATGGTCTGTTTCACTCTCTTTTTTAAAAAAAAAGACAGAAATCTGCTAAATCTATGGGCATTCAGTTCTGTTTTACACAATATATGCTAAAAGGACATAGAAACTACTGTAGCATGCTAGCTTTCTTAGTTTAGGAAAGTGGGCTTTGAATGCAATAACTTTTTCCATACACAACGGGAGATTTTCAAGGTGATCATTATGTTTTCTTCTAGTATGTGACTCAGCAGATGTGGTTTACTGCTTTCACAGAAGTATTCTTACTGAGGAAAAGAGATGCCTCTGAGGAAACTTTCGACTGTGATTGAGCTAGTCTCACAAAAGTGACAATGAACATTATGGATTCTATCAAATTGAAGAATCTCTATATGCTGTCATACTCCTTAACAATCTAGTCAATTTATGGGCTTTCACTCATCATGCAGTAACTAAGCACCCTTTATATTTAAGTCACCAAACTAGTTATATTTAGGTGGATAATATACAATCTCTGGCTTTAGTGAACAGTCTGGTTTAACACGGAAGACAGATATGTAAATGGTTACAATTATACTACTGAGTGGTGTTTGATGATATATAAGTACTTTAGGGTGTGGTTTGGGATGAATTATTTAACTCTTCCCTGGTAGAAACTGTTGGTGTTCCCTCTGCCCAGATCCTAGCAAATCCCTTGGACTGGATGCTCTAACTTCCATTTTCTGTGCTTTTGTTTCTAATTGATTTGACTCTCTAGTTGCCCTCATACTACTGAAGCTTTGTCTGGTGAATTTCAAGAAAGTAGAAGGATCTGATGATTCTGAGACAATGATGGAGTGGGTACAGGGCTCTTAAAAACCTCAGTATCTTGCCTGAGTCGAGACAGATCCATAGACTCTTTTTTGTGGTGCTGGAGGTGGAACCCAGGGCCCTGCGTGCACTAGGCCAGCATTCTACCAAATGAGCCTCACCCTCAGCTTACAAGTAGAGATTTTGTTGATTATTCTAAATAAGCTTTATGACACTGATCATTTTGAAGCTCTGGAAAAGTGCTAGGTTGTAGGGTGCTAGGCCAGCCCATTGTGTAATAGGCCATAGAATCATCTGTGTGAAATAATCACGTGATATAAAATTTGTGGGTAATAAATGACTGGATATATAGCCTGGGGATGCCGCTCTTGGAGAATTTGCTCTAGTTTCTAAGTTTCAAGTTTCTGAGTTGATAAAATGAGAATTTTTGTGTGTAGAGTAGTGATAGAAGGGAGATGTATATAAATAACAGAATTTATAAGTAGTCTCTGGAATGTGGACAGGAAGGAGAGGCTTTGCAGGAATAGAGGCAAGACATCCAGTATCTCTCTTGCTATGGTCTATGTAATAGAGCTTCTATGAGATTCAAGATATAATGGATTTACTTAGAATTTCAGGCATTTTTGTAATTGAATCTGATCAAAATTTGAAGGGGGCTAATATTTCCAATTAGGTTTAAGTTATTTACATGCCCATGCCCTGCAAGTTAACATGCTTTTTTTAAGTGATTAAGATCATACTAGCAACAGAAATAGATAGTATCAATGGCTTAACCTAGTTTAAGTTTGCCCTGTGTTTTCATTACATACATAATAGGTATTTATGATCAGTTAGCTTTTCTCCTCCAACTGGTGATCTGGGGACTCAGACTCCTTCCATATTGTGATTCTGCCATTTTTTTTATACATAACCTGATATGTGCCAATCAGCAAGAGGCTGGTGGAGAGGAGAATGCCATGGAAGAGATAGAATGGAGGATTTTGGCTAGCCCCAGAAACAGTCTATATTACTTCTACTCTTATTCTATTGGCCAGAACTTGGTCATGAGACCAATTCTAACTGCAGGGGAAGCTTAACTGTGTAATCCAGTCACATTCCCAGAAAGAAGAGGAAATGGATTGGGCTCTTAGGTAACACTAAAAACTGCACCTGGTACAGTGAAATCCAGGGCAATAACTTTGAGCTCTTCTGAATTTGGAAAATTGCTTTTGAGCACAGCACAATGAAAATTGAAAATGCCACTGGTAGCCTGCAGTTTATGCTGTAGGAGTCTTTTTAATTAACAGCTTAATTGGATAATTTAATCCCCTTTAGAATTGGAGATATGAAAATGAAAATGAGATACTCCCTGTGATCTGACAATACCGTGCTTTAATAAACACACTAAAGTGAGCCCGGAAATGAGCAACACAAAGGCAGTACCATAATTTGTGATCAGTGAAAGAAAGCCTGATCTATAATTTTAATTATTCCTAAATGGCTTAGATACATGTTTCATTTGAATGTGTATTTTGTTTTGTTAATTGGCTCAATTAAGTAGGTAACTGAATATAAGAATCTGTAGCTAAGCCACGGACTTACAATATGTTCTAAGCTTTTACAATACATCCCATTGAGAAAGTAAATAAAATATCCCGTGACATAAGATACTATTGAAAGAAAGTATAATATTTTCCAGTATTTTTAGAGAATTTGTATGAAATTTCTTTCTCCATTGATTGTTGTATAAAAATGATATCCTTTTCTTGTTTTATGCTTTCTCTACTTGAGTGAGAAATTGAGGGTCTGAGTTCAAGACATGAAGATTAATGTCCATGAACAAGCCACTAAAGCACTGTTCTCATTAATTATGGAGTAAGACTCCCTCTGACAGAGAAAGAACTGAATGACTAGGTTAAAAATTCCCAAAGTCAAACTGCCTTAAATATATTGAGTATTATGTTTGCTTCTGGTTTGGCTGAAATGCCTGTATATGTTGTAGACAAAAAGAGAAGTGTACTTTACCATCTAGAAGTACATTGCGTTCATTTCCAAGATGATTTATAAGTCAATGGAATCAGTACCTGGACAATATTCAAATAACTCTCATACCCTAATAACATTTGATGAATGGGCAAAAATAGCCCAGAGTATATGTAGTCTAAAGTTTAACAGATATTTAATTGTTATTGATGAATAATTGTTTTTGGCCTAAAATCATGATGAAAATGGTTTGTTTATTGACATACTATAATATATATCCTAGGGCATTATTCCAAATCTTACAACAAACATGCAAATAACTGTTGCTATTCCCATTACATAGGTCAGGGATACTTCTTGGATTTACCAAAACCACATTACTAAGAGGAGGAGTCGGAAATAAAGTTAGTTTTGTCTGACTTTAGAATCTTTTCTAATACTACCAGGCATTGGACATTGTTCACAAACATGATTTTGCCTTCTGACTCCCTGCAGATTTCAGGTTATGCTTCTATAGTAATGTGTTAGAAAATAATGTCCAGGTTAAAGGAGTCAATTTAGTTAATGGTATTTTCATCTTGAGTTTCAGAAAGGGCTCCAAAACCTGCTCCTCATGGATAATGCTTGCTACCATTTATCACTCATGTACCATGTTCCTGATAAGCACTAAATACCTTACTTATGTTATCTAAGTATTACAACAACTTGGATACCAATTAATCTCCCTGTTTTATAGGTAAGGGAACAAAGGCCTGGAGAGGTTAATGACTTGCCCATGTTTGTTTAACTACTAAGCAGCAGTGCTGGCTTTGAAGCCAGCATGGTCCAAGTGCTCCTTTATGCAAAGATACAGCTTTGGTGACTACCCAAGATTTCCCGGCCAGGGTATATCTTTAGTTTGGTTGGCAGACTTCCCTGAAACTAACCTAGATTTAGCACTGCTTAGCACTGCTTGCCCCATTCTCTCTCTATGGTGTCAGGAAACAAGAAAGTCTCTAGATCACTTTCTCTAGAGGACATAACTTTTGCAACACTGCCTATACATAGTTTAGGGACTTTCAAGCAATTACTTTTTCTTTGTTTGTTACTTTTCTTTTTGTATGATATACTTTATTTTTTTAAGTTTTAGAAAGGATCTTCAAAATTGCCCAGGCTGGGCTTCACCTTGTGAGCCTCCTTCCACAGCCCCCCAGAATGCTGGCATTGTAGGTGTATACCACCATGCCCAGATAATTGCCTTGTTTCGTAACCCTATCATGCATTCTGACAGTCACTGTTTCCCAGAGCATTCAAATCCTGAGTACTTCCTGTATTTGATAGGGTATTTCAGTTTGCTTCCACTAAGGTGTCTGTTAGTTTTGTCTGTGTGGGTTTAT